CTTATCCTATAAATGTCTAATATGACGAACAGCACTTCATTTAGGTACAGAATAAAGATTATAAAATTAATATTTTATGCGTCTTATTAGTTAGGATGTCTCGAGAACAATTTCATTCCTGTCCTATTTCAAGCACTGTGGACATCATTATCTTTTTCAAATGTTGTGCCAAGCCTAATGATTAAAAATGTTTCCATTTTTCAAAGAAACTTGAGTCTCGAATTTTCGGATTGAAAGTTATTCGGAATAAAGATGAGGAATCCATGGGTTGAAAACGTCAGTCTCTTTTTATGTGTGTGTTCAGGAAGGAAATCTGACCCGAATGTGATTTATAACCCTATTTTTTGGGACATTTTTCAGGTTTCAAAGCCAGAATATCCTAAACATGTCATCAGAAAATATTCAACGTCATTCAGGTAATCGTGTGAATGTTTTGGTAGCTTTTCGCGCGTGTAATACTGTACACTCTGAATGAGAAAATGATTGTACACATTGTGAATTTAGATAGCTAAAAAATTCAAATAAAAATAAAATACCACATTTACTCGAAAACCAACCTCCTAGAAATTTTTCTTCTTAAAAATCGGGTTCAAGAAGTGGGTGCGCGTCAACAACATTTTATTCTTTTAGGAAAGATTTGATTACAAAACTTTCCTGAAAATTTCCCGAAATTATCGTGCCAATATATTTTGATAAAATTACATACGAGTTATAAAAAAAATCAAATTGTATTCTCCTTTTATTCGATTATAGATTGATGAACTCAGCTATTGAAATTCTTACATTGTAAACATTTTCCAATGAAATGTAATGAAAACGCGGGGTGTGGGTCTTATGAAGGAGACTTTGTTTATCAAATTTTGAAGGTCAAAAATGAAGGTGCACCTGCTATGTGAGTGAAAAAGAGAATTTTACTGTACAATGTACGTGCTTTGCCCAATACTTTTTTTTTATCTGCGAAAACATAATCAGGAGTATTTTTTTAATCAACACGTGAAAAGCTTACATTAAAACATTCCTATGTCGGGAATAATATAAGTGCATTCGTCATCGTATGAAAATTTAGGCAGTCATCGGCTTTCATTCTTTCCATGATTGGCTCAATATTAATCGTACGTATGCTTCCTGAATATAGTGACTCACGTCATCTTTGTTTTCATTATCATACTCTTTACTTTTACATAGAAAGAAACAGCAACATACCTGGATTATTTTAAGCCTCGTTTCGTCATCATGAATGCCCTCAGAAAGGCTTTCGAGCTGGTGTTGAAACGCCCACATGTCGGCATCATATTTCTTGATGAAAACTTCCAGGTCTGTTTCCATGGTGCTTCTGAAACAGAAAGACATTTTCGACACTAAAATATGACCGTAAATTACGTCAGTGGCGGATTATTTTTGAGTCCATTGAGAAGAAAATAACGGCGTAGAAAGAAACATAATTTGTCTCAAAATATTTTCACCCCAACATCGTTTTTTCTCTGAGGTTACGACCAGCACTTCCGTCTCGTTTCATTTTTGACACGATGTTCCTTCTCTCAGTCGTAAAAAAGCACGTAAACGTATTTTGGGGGTTTAAAAAAAAAAAAGCGGGATTGCTTAATAATTTTTTGAAAACTTGAAATGAAAGTTTTCGTGCATCAAAATTCCGATTCGAAATTAATTATGCCATTATATTGGCTTAGTAACAATAAGGTTCGATGAAAACCTATACCACGGTGCTTAGGGAATTCTTTAATCGCAGTTTTTATTTGATTTACTTTTTGCTCAACAATTTACCTATTTAAAAACGTTCATACCCATGAACAAAATTGCTAACGTACAACTTAAATTTTCTAAATCGTTCAACATAGTTGCTATCTGATGAATGTTCACTCGAAAAATTTTACTAATTATTTTTAATGGGGTACTTTTTAGATCTTGAAGTGATGGCAAGTTTATAAAATGTACAAAATTGAAAGATAAGCATTAGTTCCTCTCAGAGTTGTGCGTCAGTTTCTATAATTGGTCTCCTTTCATCTGCATTCAGGATTATGACACAATGAAAAAAAATTGGAACGCTGGTCAGGAAGTGATCGAATTTTGATTGTAAAACGTATGTGCATCTTTGAAACTTCAAGGTCCAATGAAAGTATGCGCAAGATTTTCAAAAAGCATAAACTCGGTCTAAAAGTCATTCAAAAATCCTCAGTACAGTATAATAAAACCTTAGACTTGATAAATACCTCGTGAAGCACTGTATTAAATAAGTTTGAGCTGTGACGAATTTTGGTGTGAGCCACGCTCGATTTTGAAACAAAAGCAAGATTTTCCGGGAAATTACAATTTTCAAAAGATGTATAGACATTAAATTGATAAAATTTGTAGATGCACTTGCTTTGTACGAATCAAGTCGTCTTCTTCTCGTTTCTGTTGCTGCCTTTGAGCATCAAGTCGAGCGAGTAAAATATCCTGTTCGGATTTTAGCTCAGCAATTCTTTTCCCGCTCACTTCGGCTCTTTCGTCAAGATCATCCTGGAGCAAAGACCTTCGAAAAAAAATATTTGCCATCAACCTGTGAAAAATTGAATATGTATGTATCTATCAAAACACCTCTTTTCTTCGAGTTGTTCCTTGCAAAGAGTCTTCAGTGTCTCCGCGTGCTTCTCCAGCTTATTCAATTCACGGCGCTTTTCCGATTTTTGCGTAAGGAAGAGCTAAAGTTTGAAACGGTTCAGAAGAAGATTGAAACGTTAGCGTTTGTTTACAACAACCAAAGCAAGCCGTCGACTAAAACGGGAAACAAAGCAGAGATAAAGAAGTTGTCCCAGAGCATCCAGTTTCGCAGAGAAAATATCGTAAAACTTGGGATCAAAAAAGGTCACGGTGAGCTTGGAACAATGATGGGACCGATCTCAATTTGAGAACGAACCTTCTCAAGCTGATCAGCAAGGGTCAAGGTTTGAGCATTGGCCTCTATTGCTTTCGCAAGATCGGAAGTATCCAAAGAAAACTGCTGCAAGGTAGACAATTCTTTGATGAAGGTAGTTTCCAGGTCCCAAACCATCTTCAGTTTTTTTCCTGTCGATTCTTTTTTCTCTTCTTCTGTGGGGCTTTGCTTTCCTTCTCCATCTTCTGTGAGAGGATTCGAACTGCATTCGGGATGCGTCCTGATGATTTCGATTAAATCAGGGATTTCTCGGATTTCTCGCATCGTCTTTTCATATGCTTGAACTTTTTCTCGCAGGTTCACTGCTAGGATGGCTTCATAAAGTTCGAGTTCCTCTGGTCTAACAGTCATCATCCTGAATTCAAAAAATCAGAAAAAATTCCATGAAAATATTCATAGGTAGGCACTGTGATACATTACACTTACAGTATTCGAAACAAACGAAAAATAAATCTCTTAAAATATAATGCTGCGAAAGTAGCTGCTGATCGTTCTGACTTTTCTACTGAACTGCTGCTGAACGATTTCTTCCTCTTTTTTTAAGCTGAGGGGCAAAAAAAATGCTGTAATTGGAAATTTGAGATTCTGAAAAGCGATTTCTAGAAAGATGATCCGACATCTCGGAGGAGTTCCATGCTTGACAATGTGCCTCCCATAATTTTATATTCCTTCTTCTTTCTCGCAATAATTCGTGATATGTCCGTATGTTCCAAAATCCTAAGACTACAGCGACATCTATGTAATAACATCGATAGCAATGACAAAATGTCATCGGGCTACGCCTTTGGCTATTCATAGCCTATTTTTCTATTAATCTCAACATTGTTGCGTCTTTTTTGAAAAAGTATATCTCGTTACATTTTAATGAAAAAACATGGCCAGAGACCCCTTTTTCATTTTTCGTAAATGCGGAAAAGGTTGACTCTCATGAGTGGTACTCAGAGGACAAGAAAATAAATGGTTGAAGTTATAGTATTACTGTAATTCCGTGAATGATCTAATTGTGCTTTGAAAAAGGTTTGCAGGGATTACGAAAAATCATTGCGAGGAAAATATCACTAAAGACAAAAGAATTTTTGATTCAGTCAATCTGGTGAGGGATAATCTTAATTATCTGAGTTAATGAGTGTGTACGATGCCTTTAATAGCCCTAATAATCGAATACCTGTTTCGCGGATACCTATACTGGAAAAATTGCTGAATGTTTATCCAAAAAGCATTCAACAATTATAAAAAAAATTTTTGTAAGAACATTCTGGCAATCGTGAAGATGAATACATTTCTATGAGTCATGATTTTTCTTTTACAATTCTGCGGGGTTCATTTTTGTTTTTACCTTATCATCGTGAGATCAATGTTCAAGATGCAGAATTGTATCCTATCAAGGGTTTACCATTACATCAATAAGATACTGGTTTTTTGAAATTTAAAAACTGCCAACAAAAGAAATTTACGAGAAAAAAATCGTGTGGGCATCTGAAAAAGTACAATATTGCTCTTAAAGATTGTCAGTAATATCTTGTCGAGTCGCTGGTTGAAAATAATTTTTTATTCTTCAGTACCATTTAATATCCGTGAAACAGGATTTTGATTATCGGCATAAAGGAACCGAACTCAGTCATTTGCCCAGATAATTGAAGATAATTGGATGTCTTGCTAACGGGACTTCATGAACTTTTCAGACTCTTCGTGATGGTTGCCCCCAGGAAATAGACGAAATTTTATTAATTTCAGTTACTATAGTAGTGTCCACAAAGAACAATCAATAACTTGCATGTTCGCAATTGAAAGTATGAAGAACAATCACAGAATTTTTAGCATTCCAAAAATAATTTGTTAGAATAAGTGGATGGGGTATAACAGGTGGAGCTCGTCCTTCGTAGCATTCCATTCAGTCAAGAGCTTGATGGAACAAATTCATCGTATCGCGTGAGAATAAAGGTGTCCTTGGGCCAAAAAGTTGATAAATTCTGTTATACTGTACTGTAATGTATTGTGTATTTAATGTACATTATTGTACTGTACCTATTCGCTATCGCAGCAATACGCATCCTGTCGATGCATTTCCGGAACACTGCTCTGATCTGTCGCGCTCTTTGACTCGCCTCAATCGCGTCGAAGGAACACAAAGCTTCGACAGCTGCTGAAGACGTCGACGACGATGATGACGACGATGGTGTCGTCAGTTGAGTCCTCGCTTTTGCTGTTGAACTGCGACTACTTGAGCCTGATTCAAGTCTTCTTCTAGACGCGTCAACAGCATCGGGTCTAACGCAACGCGCGCTTTTGCTCCGTTCTTTGACATTCATTGCCATCGGGTGCTTTTTCTTCTTTTTCTTTTTCGACTGAGAAACTTCCTTCTTAGTTTGAGTACTTCTAGCTACGTCTATTAAAAGAAATACATCTGATAAAAATAATTACTGTGCACTAGTGCAGTAAGAATCTTATTAATAGAATGAGCAATGGATCGATGCCACCGCTCGGTAGACGCCTTCACTAAAAAAATAAAACGCTATTTCCTTCAACAGTCGTAACTATAGATAAAGCATTTCTTTGTGCATCAAAAATTTAAAAGATCTTCCCTTGATTGAAAATGTAAAACGAATTCTTCGATTTCACTCAATTTTTCCGTTAGTTATCAATTTTCTCTTCGGTTACCTTACTAACAGAATGGCAAGTCAAAACTTCAAATCAATTTACCCTTCAAATGAAAACGATTGGAACTATTTGTTTAATTCGATTTCAACAGAGGTTCCATTTGAAAGAGAGTGTTATTCTGAATCGATCGTGCACTTCACTTGTGAATAAATTAAATCGAAGACGCACCGACCTCATTTGAGTGCCAATTTTCGCGAGAAAGCAGGTCTTCGCATGCGAATGAAATTGGACAATGGAAAAAAACGAAAAGTTTATTTTCCGAAATCCTGAATTAATCAAGGTTAACATGATGAATTACGGTTAGGAGAATAATCAATAAAGAATTACGAAAATAATGTGCTCTGTCACTGTTTGTTCAATTGCTTTTCTCCAAAAACAAGATCAACAGAGCTCTTAGTTTTCCCCCGTAGAGGGCTCTTGTCAATTTAATGTGGATTGGCGTGACCTCTACATTTTAGCTTTAAAACGAGAGGCTCTTTGTCTGTCATACTGCTGAACAGATGACACAAACTACCAAACGTTATCATCTTCCAAACGGTTTAGTTACCAGGTTTAGGTAATAGGAATAGGGGTCCTCTACAACAAAATTCTCTCTACGAAGAATATTTTCCGGTTATCCTTTAATTTCGTCGTAGAGAGAGAGTCACCTGTATTATAGTACGCTGTAAAATGTTGATTGCATCATGGTCTCGGTGTACCGTATTAATCATGGTTAGTATTTAAGAGCACGGATATAAATGCGTCCAAGGTTCAAGTGTACGAGTTTTCTCATCACCATCACCTACAGTAAAAAGTATTTTGTCGAAATACAGCACTTGAACACACTTTCACATAGCAACAATTTTGAAATGATTCTGAATACCAGTCCTTCAAAAATATACACTGAAAAGGCGGCATCTGTGTTTCTGCACCCGTCCAGGTGCACGTCTGTACATGAACTGCGGTAAAATACTTCGATTCTTTATTCGGCAAGAGGTCGGGAGAAGGACTCGAAAGCAGGTTATGTTTGATCAATATTCACGCTTATATAGCGACAGCACCAGCTAGTGAATCATCAGCAGCAAAGATTTCTTCCAAGCGTTTATGTTATTCGGGAAATCACCCTCGGAACTTTGTGCATTTAACTGCGCTAAAATGATGGGTTTACAAGAAATTGAATATTTTTAATTATGGTACTGTATTCTGTACTCTAGATGGAATGTTTTCCAATTGCTCGATTAAGCACCCAACGATGAAAAATTATCGCATGCTTTGCAGTAATTGAATCTGCGGTATTTTTTGAATTCCCGTGATTTACACCGCTGCCAATTCCAAGCGCTCAATTTTTAAATTGACAACAGCGCTGTCGTCTGCAGCAGGCCGGCAGGAATAAGTTAAGTGCATCGTTAACTTGTCCTCTGACCGGACTGTTGTTTTAGCTTCTGCCATTGTTTAGATTTTACATAGCTAGGTGTCGCTATAAGCCCCGTGCTAAATTTCTAAGCTGTGCCAGCATTCCAGCGAGAAACAGCAAATCCTGAGCTGATGTGCCCGCATGGGGAGGATTCTCTCGAAGCTCCGCCTACACTCATCCAATCCCACGCGTTTTCTCACCGTTTTCGCAAAAACTGAGCCCGCCTTACCTGTTTTTTTTTTTAAACCTCTTGCCATGTACACATTATCGCAGTTCCTCCAACATGCAAGCATAAAACTTACATGCATCTCCCACACTGTCTTTGGAAAGCGTGTGTTCGTCGATGGGAAAATTTCAAGCGACAAGTGCGTATTTAGCGCCGATTTTAATCATCATGGCCCAGCAGGGTACAAGATGAAGACCTCGGCACTCGATCGCAGAAAACATCTTCGCAAAACACCTGTCCGTTCCCGGCAAAGACGACATTTCCATCCCGTTGCCGTCATCGCAAATCACTGCGGAAATTCATCACCGCGGGGATGAAAATTTCCTGCGGTCGTGCGGCGACAAAGGAAGTGACGTCACAGCGGGCGTTTATCTTTTTTGTTTTGTTTTGTTTTGGGAGGTCTTTATGGTCTCTCCCGAGAGCCGCAGGTGAGCAAGACCAAACAAAATGGAAGCGAATATCCCGTATATATATATGTATAAAGAGAAGAGAGGAAAAAGGGAATACGAAGTGTCACAGTCGGTTAAACGCTTCGTTTTTGAGACACCCCCGAGAATGATGTGTGAGGAGGAGTTTCTTTGCGCACAGAGAATCTGCAAGACAGAACTGCTGGGTCCCTGTGTGTTGCGGTTTGGCACTGCCACTGTATTATTCAGTGGCATAGCTTCGGGTCGAATGATTCCTTCAATCTCTTGTTTGCTTATTTATAGAAACTGAGTCGAACAAAAGAACTGAATAATGGGGTACTTGTTGTATAGCGGATATTCTTCAGGCTCAGGCCTAAAGTCTTGATTCCCTGAGTGAAAAGCAGACGAGTTTTTTTTTGCGTATTCCCATGAAGGTGCATATATAAATATAGGCCGCGCCTTTTTTTCCTATAACAAATAGGCCCCGGAAAAACGCGGGTGTGGCCTATGACCGAGATATTTGCCGCACCGATAAAGTCTCCCTTTTTCGGCCTCCACTTCCATATAAATTCACATAAATCAATATCATATTTACACTAGATAAATTCACATCTAGAACACATTTCTGTGGGTTATTTGAATAATTTTAGGCAGTGACTTCCGTTTTCCCTCTTCGATCCAGTAATTTATCGGAAAACTCGCAGGTTTTTTACTGTGAATAAATGCCCACAAGAAAATGATTTTATTTGGTCGAATTCCATTTTTAGGGGAAGCAAAGTTTGTATAATAAATAAATATTGGGAGCAAAATTTTTGCTCGCATGTGTGAATAATATCATTCAACTATGAAATATTATTCAATTATGCTTTTGCAGATAAAAAAAAAACTTCTTGTTCTAAAAGCTCAGCTTTGACGTGTTTCAATCAGTGTAAGAAATGAAGGATCCCTCCAATTACTGTACTATATTTTAAAGCGCTTATATTACAGTAAAATCAAAATCACTGTACAGAGATAGCACAAGATCGACAGCTATAAAAATACAGTAAATGCGAACGAAATTATCAAGAAATACTTTCTGCTGGTTTTCCGCTGGTTCACTTTATTGCAGTCCAGTATTTTTTTTAATTATTCCCGCTGTAGTAGATTATTGTGCTTTAGTCTAAAAGAATTGTTCAAATTCTCCTCGAAAATTTTGGCAAACATCAAGGTGCTAAAGCATTTAAATTTTTTCAAAATAAGAGTGCATTTTCAATGGCCAAGAAACGTTGGAAGTGCATTTTTGGAGAGGATCTTTGTAGCAGATCAATGGCGAAAAAGAAAATTAAAGGACGGTAGAGTTGCCAAGTGAGAAAATGCTGAGAAAAATATTCAATTTGCCAGCCATTCTTGCATTCGGTGAAGGAAATTTGGCAGTACTGTATATTTTTTTTTACCTGACATTTCACGAAAGCAGTTTCGTGGATTAGCAAAGTCAGCTTAAATACTGTTCAGCCAGAATAATGAAAGCATATTCAACATTCTCAACTCGGACTCCGCACCACTTTTGAAATTGTTCTTTCCAATGTGGCGAATTAAAGTGACGAATTCAGCTGCTCTAAATCTGACACACATGGCAGATGGTATTGTGAACAGCAATTGGATTCAAGTTCAATTGAAGCATAGAATCAATTTTCCACGTTAACGTACAGTAGTTTCCAGTTTCAAATTCTATTGCAATTTTCAGGGACTCAAAAGTAGGGTGCCTGTCGTATGTGAAGGCACATGTCACTTGAATGAATGTGGCATTTATTATTGTCGGGAGAATTTTTTGAATAGACCAGCAATTTCATACTGTTTGCTTCACTGTACTGTACTCAATAATAAGTGACCTCAGTGAGGTCGGAAACCAAATTTCCATTGTTTGTACAGTAGTGAAGTAAATCAAATCTTGTGAACACAAGGTATTGCTTAAAATGAATTCTTTTTAGGTCCTTTTGGCAAGTTTTTCCTATGCTTGAAATAAAAATTTTTACATGCTAATTTTTGTTTTAAATTGGTTCAAATTGCCAGTGTTACCTCTCTTGCACATGTTCTACTTTCATGAACTAGAATTTCGCAAAAATATCTTGGCTCCCTGCACACCACTAGACTACTCATCTGTCCAGAAAACTAACAAACTCAAAGGCTCGAATACATTCGGTCCAAAATCTGCAGGCTGGTGACCATGTTTCAGGAGAGTTTCACATTTTTTCAAAAATATCCTGGCTTTGCGAGGAAATTGTGCAAAGTTTTGAGCTTTTCAAAGAAATATTCCTGGCTATCCCTGGAAATTGTTAACTGAAACGTCAGTACATCACTAAATGCATTACCCAAGCACATTATTTTCTTATCATGACCAGCATTCCACAGCCACAGAAATGAGCTTTAAAAAGATTTGGAACTCTTGAAATTCAATGAAAAGACTTTTTCCAAAATCACAGAGGACCAAGATAAACTGTTGACTCTATAAAACGTCTCATTAAAGATTCTCTCCAAAAGTTTTAATCAACTAAAACTCACCTGGGAGCAGGCTATTGTGATGTATTATTTTTGTATTGTGTTTGATTGTGATTTATTGTGGACTGTGATTAAACCAGACAAAACTAGGGATATTTAATTAAGGTACCCCCTTAATTACATATTCCTGGCCGCAAACTGGCTGACTGCCCTGCCTTATTATTTCCCACCTTTCTTCCACTGTGCTATGGTTCAATTCTTTATGTTGGGTCAATCAATCCCTCAACACAGGCTGAACACCTTGTGCTTTAATTTGGGTTCAGTATTTGCCTTATGCTTCAATTTTTATCATTGATATTTTCTTTTTGTTGTTGGGGAGAGGGGAAGAACGTGTATAAGCATTCACATCAGTCATGCAATTTAAAATGTTGGTATGTATGTTCTTTTCTTTTTAAATATCCATGTACAGCTTATTTCTTCATTTTCCATTCTGATGTAATGGAATGTGTTTGGATAAATGTGGGTAGGGCAGGGAGGAGTTTTGAATGTGGGAGCATTGCTTGAACCTTGTGAATGCTGAAAAGCAGAAAATGAAGCTTGCTGATCAATCAATCAAAAATCAATCAGTACATCTGAAATGCCCTGCAATAAGCTGACCAAACTCACAGGCTGTAATAATCTGCATATACATTGAGACCCCCACATGCAGGCACCTCAACATGAGGACAATTTGACAGAGGGACATTCATTTTCAATAAAAAGATAATAAAAAAGCCCAACATACAGACACTGACTCAACATGGGGACATTGCATGAAAAAATTGCCAATAAATTTTAGGAAAATTGAATTTTATTAGGCTTAATTGCAGGAAATACATATATTTCCAACCCTAAGCTCTATGCAAGAAAAATTCTTTGGTACTTTTCCCATCCCTTTCCCATCCATTCAGCTAATTAAAAAAAAGACCTGTAGCGCAGAGGGACTTCCTTCTCTTTTTGTGACTTGGATGTTATTTTTACAGATGCCAACATTTCAATGAACTGTGCAGCAGTATATTATTCCATGCTCCAAATTTTCTAATGTGGTTGAAAATATATTCACTGAATAAAATTCAAAGGGCAAACAATATGTCCGCATCTGGGGGTCTCACAGTATACTGTCCGAAACCTGCGGGGCTAATATAACCAAAGGATAGGGGGTGGAATTCTCGCGCATATCCCGAGCATGTGAGCGCAAAAAAACAATGTAAAAGTAAAATAAAGAAAAGAAAGGAAGGAAAGGGGAAAGTATGGGGGGTGTGGGGGAAACAAAAACGGCGAGGATGAGGAGAAAAATCTCGTTGCCAAATGAGCATGTGAGCGCAAAAAAACAATGTAAAAGTAAAATAAAGAAAAGAAAGGAAGGAAAGGGGAAAGTATGGGGGGTGTGGGGGAAACAAAAACGGCGAGGATGAGGAGAAAAATCTCGTTGCCAAACCCGCGGCGGAATGCCGCGGCGTCGAGCAGTTGACGAGTCTAGCGAGTGACGAGCAGAGACACGGCGTGGTCGCAACGACACCGGGCTCGATCTGTTACCAATTTCCTCGCCGACTTGGCTCCACCATCACACGTGCTCTTCCTCTCTATATTTTTCCCATGTGTGTGTGTGTGTGTGTTCCTTGCCACAACCTTTTTTTTTTCCATCACTTTTTGAGTATCCCTTATTTGCAATGCAAAAGCTTCTTCCGAAACACGGAAGAAATCAGCCGAGAGCAGAGAAAACGTGAGCAAACATCAGTCGGTTCAAGTGAATACTGTGCTGGAAATGTGATTTTTCTGGAACCCAAATCCAGTTTCTATCCCGAACCGTTTTTGCCCTCCGGAGTCATAAGAATTTATTTTGTTTTTCTTTTAAACTTGTTGTCGAACCTTCGAGCTCAACCCTTTTCTTAAGCGGATTTCAAAGCGTGTGTGAAAAATACTGCGTGATTGTTCTGGAAGATACAGAGTTTTGGAAAAAAAAGGTGTGAACCAGCTTTATCTCAAGAACACGAAAATTCTGATGCTTGAAGAAAAAAATGTATGGATAATTATAGATATTATATACGGTAGTTTGGAAATTGTAATGCTTCATCCAATAAACGCCTCAACGTGAGGGGTTCTTGAATAACAGTAAAACTCTGATTTTACAAAAACGCACATAAAGTATTCCGAGATGTGATTACCCCTTCGAATCACAAATTTTCTTCCGATAAAAAAATTGCTGATTCAAGACTTATTCTCTAAACCTTCACGCTTAATATCTTTCTTAGATTAAAAACGGCGCGTGAAAAATAATGAGTGATTTTATGAAGGAGGGTCTATTATTCAAGTTGTTACGAAATACTGTAATGGAATTCTTCATT